CCCATGGCCTGATTCCAGGAGCTGAATAAAGAGGTCCTTGTTTGGTGGAGTCCATCCCTGCTGCTGAGTAAGTGAGAGCTGGTCCCTGGCCCAACTTGGTCTGAGGCCACAGGGAAAGGGTGGGGAGGAGATAGGGAGGGTGTTACAGGTGGGGAGGGCTCCACAGGAGATATGAGGCCCTGCTCTGCAGGCAGCCCAACCCTGCTTCCAAAAATAAAAATAAGGGAGGAAAGTAAACAAATGGGGCCCCTAACCAGGACCCTGTAGGGGGCATGGTTATTTTCCCTCCTTCCTAAGAGGAATCCCAACCCTCCTCTCCCACGGAGAAGACAAACACAGCTATGAAAATCTCCTGCCATCCAGGCCCCTGGAAGTCTATCACCAATTGGAAGTTACTCCGACCTACACTTGTGTTTGCCAACCACTGTCTCCCCAGATCTGTTTTCTCTCCTTATGAGTAGAAAGCCTTTCATGGAAAATTTAGAATTTGGAACCTTCTTCAGATTCCAAAGGAGTTATTGTTTTACATCACGCTACCTTTATTAGAGTGTTATTTGAACTCAGAGGAAGTAGAAGCCCACATCTTGGGTTTGATTGGATGCTCTTGCTGAATTATTAAGAACACGTTAATTAAGCACCTTCTCTGTCTGAAGCTCTTGTGTACCTTTCAGAGTCCATCCCAAACCCAAAGCCTCATCTGCTAAGGCTTGGGTATCCAGAGGGGGAAGGATGTGGGTGGGGTCGGTTTAGGGACAGCTCACTGGGACATCTCTGGAAGATACTGACATGGATGGTCAGAAAGTTTTCACAGCAAGAAGAGGAGAAACTGTCTCTGAGAGCATCATGGTGGCAAGAGCGTCTCACTTTCTGTGGTGTGGAAGCCAAGGACCTGAGATGATAGGGGGATAAGACCTCAGAAAGGCATCAGGAGAAAGTGGGAAATGAAGAGAGTGAGAGTGAGAAGAAACTGAGGGCGTCCTGCAGAGCAGGGCCAGAGAGAAGCCACACTGTCTTGCACCACCGCCTGGTGGGAAAGGGCTAGGTGCTGCAGCATTTAAAACCACGGCCTCCAGGCGGCTAGAGCCTGAAGGGAGCTGAGAAGTTGTCCCACCGTGGCTCTCAAAGCCTGGTAGGTGGGCCATCTTTTCAGAATCACCTGGTGGGCTGGTTAAACACGTGGACTCATGGGATCCATCGGGTCTACGGAGTCAGATTCTCTGTGGGTTGGGCCTCAGAAGCTAAATGTCTATCAGGTTCCACAGATGATTCTGAACCTTATTATTGAGAGCCCTTGATCTAGTCCAACCCTGTAGTTCTCTGGAAGTGGGCTCTGAAGCCCACAGAGGTAAAGCAACAAGCCTAAAGTCACAGATCTAATTGATGGCAAAGCTCTAATGAAAACTAGATTGCTCCTGACGCCCAGGGCAGTGCTCTTTTCATTTCAACATGCGGGTAGCCTCTTCACCTATTTGGAGCTGTTTCCCTTGCTCCCTGAAGTGAGAACCTGCACCTTTGATTCATCCCTGCATCCTGCTGAGGGCCTGCTCCTTCCTGAGGATACTCTCTCTGGTCATAGGCTTGCAGGCCGGTGGGCAGGAGCTGAAGGAAGAAAGGCCCAAGTCTCTTCTGAGGTTTTAGTAACAGGTGTGAGGTTGGCAAATGAATAGAGTAAGAGAAAACACACAGTTACAACTGAGGGGTAACTGAGGTTGGGTTTGTAGTACTAAGAGCTAACTTTCCTTGATCATTTGCTGTGCACCAGACACAGTGTTAAGTCCTTCCCATGCGTTAGTGTAAACCCCATGGATCAAATCGTAATTAGGCCTATTTTGCAGATGAAGAAACTGAGGCTCAAAGAAGAGTGGTCATTTACCCAAGGTCACTTAGCTAATGATAAGTGGCCAAATCACTTCCACATACAACCACGATCTTTGCATGGCCCAATGCAGTGTGAACTGTCATCCACTTTAACCCAACAAGCCTGCAAAGGACCCTGGGACCTTGGGAAAGAAAAGAAAGCTGCTCTGCAGAGGGATGTGATCATTCCTGGTGCAGGGAGGGAGTGGACGGAGCTTAACCCTTTCCACTTACACACTGAAAACATTTCTGATGGGCATTAGCTGGCCTTAGAAATGATAATGTGGAGGGTAGGTTAAATAGCTTTTTTCCTCAATTTTTTTAAAACGGAAACTCCTGATGTCAGTTTTTGCTTTCTTTCCATTTGCCTCTCTCTCTTGAAAGCAGTGTGTCTTCAGAATTTTAGGTACTTGAGGAATTTGGCCGTGTAGGGTTCTAAGTGAGCCCCTGGCGTGACTGCAGGTGTGTGTGGTCCATGTCATGTAGCAGCTGTTACGTCTTCTGATACCATGGCACATGACTTTGCCGTGATCACCTCCCTCCATTCATTTTTCTGGAGTGTCTCCCAGAGATAGGAGAAGAAATCAAAGCAGATCAGTGCCTCAGAGAAGGGAACAAGTGTTTCGCAAGACATGTGGATAGCATGTCACACTGTCCTCTAGCTTTGCCTCTTAACCAGACCTCTCCTTCCTTAGAAGAAATCAATCAGGTAGCCTTTTAAACAACTCAGTAGGACCACGGAAGAAAAGATGGGCATGTTTTTATAGGAGGGGAAGGTCTCAATTTCACCCTAGCAGGATTTGGTGGTGTCTGGCAGCTAATGGTGAAGGATGACTCTAATTTAATTCTGGTCATTTCATAAATTGCCAGAGTTAGGAACATTTTTGGGTAAAAACTGAAAACGTGTGATCCTCAGGTCATCTTCCTTCTCTTTCAAATCTCAGGCTTTAGATAACTTAAAAGCGAGTCGGGGCTGGGTGGCTGTAAAATGCTCTTATTAACTCATAATGAAGGGAGTGCACTGAGGTGACAGCAAGCCGTGGAGGGAGGAGGGGGAGAGCGCAGCCTCTGCAAAGCTCTTGAGAGGTGTGGGGCTCTCTGCAAAGCGCCCTGGAAATGCTGAATGAAAACTGCCTTTCTGTGTACGAGCTGCCTCCCTGCTCTCCCAATGCCGCGTCTGCGGTAACTACAAACTACTTTGTATGCTGCATTCGTGACGCTGCCTTAGCCGACACATGATTACTACTGAAACAACGCTGGTGTGATGTCGAGCCCAGTGGCCTTTTTAATGATTAAACTGAGGCTGCTGAATGAGTTATTCCGCATACCAGATTTTCCTCCCGTGGCTCTATTTCAAGTGACTAGTACCTTAGTGTGTTCCACTAACACCTGAGCTGATTCTTAGCCAGCTACCCAATCTGCAAAGCCTTTGCAGAACAAACAATATTCTCCAATCTCCAAACACATACACACTGCATAAAAAAATAAAACCCACAAAAGAACTTCATGGTAAGCTCATCAATCAGTAAAGCCAAGTTTGGAAAATGCCCGGGGCCCCTCCACTAGTCCCCAACTTACCAAGTGGTAGAGCGATGAAGAAGGGTAGCCAACACAAGATGAACATCCCGACCACTATGCCCAAGGTCTTGGCTGCTTTCTTTTCCCTGGAGAACTTAAAAAGTTTGACAGCTATGGAGCTCCTGGGGTTGTGGCCCTTGGCCTTGGTACTGCTGAGGGTGTCCTCGTGAAAGTTCTTGGAGTGGATCCTCAGGGTCAGCTCCTTGGAGTTCGACATCTCCCTCATGACTCCGGCCTCCAGGTTCTTGGTGGTCCTCTTGGCAACGATGTAGACGCGGCAGTACATGACCAGGATGACGGCCAGAGGGATGTAGAAGGAGCCCAGCGAGGAGAAGAGCGCGTAGAAGGGTTCTTCAGTGACCCCGCATTCCTTGTCATCATTGGGGGCTGGCTCCTTCCACCCAAGGAGAGGCCCGATGGAGATGACTGTGGACAAGACCCACACACTGAGGAGCGCCAAGATGGCTTTCCTTCGGGTGACTAGCGTGGGGTACTGCAGAGAGTGGCGCACCCCAATGTAGCGATCGATGGAGATGGCGCATAGGCTCAGGATGGAGGCGGTGCAGCACAGGACGTCCACGGCGGCCCAGATGTCACAGAAGATCCGGCCCAGCACCCAGTAGCCCAGCACCTCCAGGGCGGCCGAGAAGGGCAGCACGGTGAAGCTCAGCAGCAGGTCAGCGATGGCCAGGTTGACGATGAAGTAGTTGGTGGGTGTCCGAAGGTGACGGTTGCAGGCCACAGACAAGATGACTAAGATGTTGCCCACGATGGCAAAGATGATAAAGGCGCCCAGCACCATGCCCACGGAGATGGCCCTGGTGATGTCCAGCTGGGGCAGTCTGGAGTTGTTGGAGGTCTGGTTGGGGCCAGTGAAGTTGGCATTTTTCAACTCTCCCCAGTGGGCAGGTGCTGATGTGTTGTGGCCGGTGTCCAGGTCGGGATTCATTTTAGAGTCCGCCCTCCATAGCCAGGGGTTGACAGGGCTGGAAGGGCTGGGGGAGGGCTCCTCAGCTGCCCTGAAACTTTGCGGCCCCCGCGGTGGTGGTCTTCCCAGAGGCGCCCTCCTGGCGAGGAGGCATCTCCCCAGCAGCCCGCGGCGCGTCTCCTGCACCGCCGCTCGCTCGCCTGTCAGGGAGGAGAGGGGACGAGGCGGCAGCTCCAAGTTAATGGTCCACGTCAGG